TATATATATATATATATATATATATATATATATATATATATATATATTATATAATAAAGTACTACTTACTACTTGTACTACTATACCCACTTCGCAGTTTTTCAATTATCGCGGGTCTTCTGGGTACGGATCCCCCGCGATAAACGAGGGACTACTGTACAGATTGTTCTTAACATCCGTTACTACCTTCACTGACATATTTTAATTTGAACAATTTAAGAAAAGCAAACAAAGAATAAAACTAACATTAAAGGAATTCATATGGCCCGTTGCCTTGTGTGCCAAAGTTTTCAATTAAGATTTTCACATCTAATCTACATAAAAATGACTTTAATTTAGTCTCATTTACAGACACTGAGCTGAAGTTTCATGTGGTGCACGTTCTTTGAGCTCGAGCACAGTCGCAAGAGATTAGACAAAACATGATTAACAATTATGTCCCTTCTCATCATGACAGAATCCGAACTTGAATTCCTTTAAGCAATGCTTGGCCTTTATTTCAGCTCTGAATTTGCTAAAGTATTTTTTTTAATTTATCTAGTCTTTGCTGGTATTTCCCACCTCTTCACGTGTAAGTGAATGCAGCGTTTTAATATTAACTCCTGCTGTAATTTTAGCATGCTAAGTGATAAAATGACCTGCGGGCAGCAGCCAATCAGGAAGCTCTCCATGGCAGCTGGGAGACATGAACAGCAGCGAGCAGGGAAGCTGATCATGATGGATCAGGATTTATGTTGTTGCTGCAGTGCAGTGTCACCTCTCAGCTCATTATGTCGAGCCTTTTATAAACGGATGAGCTCGTCGCTGCAGACTGCCTCAATCTGTGTGTGTGTGAGAGAGAGAGAGAGAGAGAGAGAGAGAGCCTGAGCATTAAAAACTAATAAAAGCTCTAACATCTGTGTTATCGTGTGTGTTCGTTTCAACAGCACAGTCCGTTCTTTGCTGAGCAGCTGACAGCGTTTCAGGTGTGGCTGACAATGGGTGTGGAGAACAGAAACCCCCCTGAGCAGCTCCCCATAGTGCTGCAGGTACACACACACACACCATCACCTCTTTGGTATGCATGCAGGTACTACCACAGATTCAAGAATCAACTAATATGCAGAGGTGAGCACAGCTAACCAGAAAGTTGCTAATGCTAAACCGCTAAACAGATAAAAACAATTAGCGGAAGCTAACGCTAAATCGAGAACTTTTCTCATCCGCTGCTGTCGCTGACTCTGTCAGACTGTCTGTAGAGTGACAGCATTGTGAGTGAACACAACTCAAAACGGTTCATAAATCACAAAGAGTCCATGTCCCGTTCAGAGGTGAGCTTTCAAAAATTAATCTGGTCCATCAGAACCAAAGAGGCAGAGCAGATGCATTCAATGTGTGTCGGACGGCTCCCTTGTGTCGTTTACTATAACGAATTATTTCACTTTAATGATTCACTTTGTGGAAAAATACTTTTATAAAGTAACTACAAAGCTGCTGTGCGTCATCATCAATGTTCTTTCAGTAATAAATCTGTTTGTATTAAAGTAAAGACGTGTGAATATGGTTAAAATATTTATTACTGGTGACTAGAAAGAACTATTTTCCTGTCAGTCGCATCATTCCAGTGCAGAAACAACAGCATGACTTCATTAAACGCGTCAGTCTCACCTGGAGATTAAAGACAGCACGATTAAATTGTTGCATTTATGGGTGTTTTTTTACCAACAGCAGCACAGGACGGTACTGAGGGAACTCAAAACTCTGGTTTACTGGATGCACAGTCTCACATTAAATCTGCAAACGTGAAAATAATCCAAGCTTCTCAAGAAAGAAAACAGTATTTTTTTAGCGCAGCTGGCAACTTATTCTGATTTCAGATCTGCTGAACTCATTTAGCTGAAAGTTATTTTTGTTCAAGATGAAAAAAAAAAACAATATCTTGGAAGAAATTTTTTATTTATCAGAAATCACAAGTGCAAAGTAATGCTGTCTGCACTGTTAGGTTGTCCCTACTCCAAACTGTACCATTGCAGTTTTGGGCACTTCGTACCAAGCTTTTAGGGTATGAAAAGAAGCTAACTGCTACAGAACTATTTGTATCAATCTGCCCTCCTCTGCTCATTTCGTACCCACCTCTGCCCATTTCGTACCCACTTCTGCCCTCTTTGTACCTGTCTGCCTACTTCATACCCACTTCTGCCCTCTTTGTACCCATCTCTGCCCACTTC